CCCTCAATTCTCATTTTTTGCTTCGACTTTTTCTTCACGGGACACGAGGAGATGAAAAGGACAAGTGCTCATTGTGGACAGTAGAGGGATTTTGTTTAATAATTGACAAGGGAGAGATCCAAAAAAAACAACCTGGCATTCAATTTTAGAGGATGGTCCATCAAAAAAAAATATCCACTTAATTTAGATCGTTAAACCAAAATTAATTTAATTAACATATAAAATTAGATAACTTATCAAATTTAATATTAACAAATTAAATTAAAAAAAATCATAAAAAAAACAAAAAAACTCCGAGTTAATTCATCAAACTAAAGTAACTTATTAAACCCGAAATCCATATTATGAAAATCTAATAATTAAATAAAAAATTAACATTAACAAATTAAATTAAATAAAAAAATTCATTAAAAAAAACAACTCAGCCTTTGTACTGTGAATTGCATTATGCAATTCAAAACTAAGTCAAACCTGAAATATATATCATGAAAATTTGGTAATTAAATAAATATAAATTTAACATTAACAAATTAAACTAAACGAAAAAAAAATTAAAATGAAAAAAAAAATTAAATTAATTCATCAAATCAAGTAACCCGTAAAACAAAAAATCTGTGTTATAAAAGTTTAATAACTAAATAAAAAAATAACATTAACAAATTAAATTAAACAAAAAAATTCATGAAAAAACAAAGAAAAAACAGGTTAACTTATCAAACCCGGATCTCTGTTATAAATAAAAAAAATAATATAAAAAATTAATATAAAAAAAATCATTAAAAAAACACAAAGGCTTGAAAAAAAAAGAGCTTAGCGGAAAAAAAGAAGAAGCAAAGAAGACAACTCAGCTTACAAAGAAGACAGTCCACAATAGAAGACTTGAGTGGTTTTAGTTAGATAACATATAGGTTTCCCTAGCCCGCCGATGATCGGATAGGCCCAATCTAAAGGGAATTGAAAATGAGAGAACTCAATATCTAATATGGGCCAGCTTATGTTGGGTGCACATAACTAATATCATCCACAGCCTACAGCATATCCACATAACTAATATTAGTTTCCTGAACATCCAACAAATATAATATATCCAATTTTCAATTTTCAATCATCACTACTCCTAGCTCGGCGTCAATAAAAGCATGCATGCAATTGGTGAAAGGAGTCACGACTCAAATGCAAACTGTCATAACCTTATTTTTTACTTTTTCTATTTTTATCTTATTTTATAAAAATAATAAATTGAAATTTAGATCAATATAAATTAAAATATTGAGGATTTAATTAAACAATGGATTAATTTAATTAATCAAACCAGGAGCTTAATTGTAGAAATGATAGATTTTGGGACTTGATTGAACTTGAAATTAGTTTAATTAATGAAATCAAAAGCATAATTGAAGAAATAACAAATTTTAGATCAATTAAGGATTGAATTGAATAAATCAGAAACATGGAAAGGATTGTTCTGTAAATAATTCTAAAATCCAGGGGTCCAATTACAATTTATACAGGGAATTGATTACAGAATTGCGAAACTCCAATGACCAAATCGAAAATAACCATTTGAACTGGGAAAACGGAGCCGTTTCAGAAAAAACTATTCATTGCTTTCTTCCTCGGAAACTATTTGAGCAGGAAAGGCAGTGGAGAGTCTGGAGACGTTTCAGCAGTAAAAGCACTAGATTGTTTCAGTTATGGGGCACGTCTCACGGCTACTATCCCTCCCCCCCACGATGCGTGCCGGTACCACTGCATGGCATTCTCTGGCCTTATAAAAGCCAGAGAAACGCCACGAACCGGGGCAGGGGACCAAAAAAAGACAGGAACGAAGACAAAAAAAAGAAACAGAGAACAGAGGAGACGACTGGAGAAGCAAACGAGACAGAAACAGGGGAAGAGAACAAAAGGCCAGCGTACCCCAGCTTCGCCTTCGTCTTTAGAACACAAACACAGTAGGCAAACAAAAACAGAGAGACTAGAACAAAAAAACAAAAAAACAAAAGACCAAAGACAGTGGACGGACGAGCAGAAAAACTAGAGGAGCAAACATGGGAAAAAAAAACCAGTAGAGAGAGAGGAAAAACCAGGAAATAAACACAGAGAGAGAACAAAAGAACAATAGAAAAGGACGAACCAGAATAGCAGGACTGTTATCCCCTGTTTCTTCTCAAAAAAACAGAGGAACGCGTGAGAACCAGAAGACAGGGATGAAAGAGAAGGAACAAACACGGGGTAGGAGGATTAGGCAAGAACAGAGGAAACCAGAGGAGAAAGCAAATAGAAAACAGAAAGAAAGAGAAGAGAATCGTCCAAAGCCAGTGTTATTCCCGGTCTTTCGCCTCCAGCAACGCCGGCAGATCAGGTAAGTTTTTCGTTCCCTCTTCCATTTTTCATTACATAGTCACTGTGCAGCTTGAATTTAATCAAGCCTTCACTATGCGGTGCGCGCGCCTCCAGCTGGCTAGCCTGGTCATTAGGCCAGTGACCAATCTGGGTTGCTACGTCTGGCCTAGTCTATACAGACTCAACTAAATCCAGTCTAAAAAAAAAGGCTGGGCTTGATCTCATGCTCAATTGGCCCAATTATTTAATTTTATTTTGATACTTCATCAAACGAGTTATTTTTTAATATAAAAAAATTTATAGATCTTTTTAAATTTATTTGTTGGTCTCTTATGTTTTTTTAGGGTGTTTCAGTGAATATTTGATTTGTAAATTTTTACTATGAAATGCAAATTCAGTATTCAGTATATTTATTTTTCTTAAAAAAAACTATTTCGAATTTATTTTTTTGGTTTATTCACTAGTACAAGAGCCAGGAATACTATATGTTTTTTTAACTACATGATATTTATCAATACTAGAGTTTGAAATATTCGTATTCAAATACTCATTGACGTCATAATAAAAAATATTTTAAGTAGATTGCCGGTAGCATAATATGACAAACACTTAGTAATTTAAGACGAAATCAGCAATGCAGCCTATCTCAAGTACGATGCTTATAAGGTAATAATATTTTTCTTTTTGCATAACTAGTTTCGTACCTTAAAATCTCTGTTGATTAATTAACATTTCTAGTTATTATAATAGTAGGTGAGGACTTTTTAAACAAGATATTTGCTCATCAAAGAACAAAATATTAGAAATATATTCTTTATAAAAAAAATAGAATTTTTAAAGATCATTATAATATCGGGTGCGATACAAATCATATTCAATTCTATAGCTTTTAGGTAATGAAGGATATGTTTTACAATACCTCAACAATCAAGAGAAGGGTAATGTATAAATTGACATACTTAGTGATTTTTTTTAAAATAGAAAAAGTTAAATAAATCATTTTTTAAAATATCATATTTAATGAGTTGTATTGTTAAAACAATGCAATATAGTAAATTTCATTATTAATAATAACATATTTTTTTAAAAACAATTTAGCAAAGTAAAAAAACAAGGGAAAATAACACACTCTAGAAAAATATGGAGAAAAATAACATAATTTAATGAGTCGCAAGCCTTATCTGCGACTCTAAATGAATTAATATACTACCCATATTTTCTTTCCCTTTTTTTTTCTTATACCCCCAAACCACAACCCGTGGCACATCATTTCTCACACCATTCTT